GACAGAGGCAATACCCACGGTCCCAGTGCTGACTCTGCCCCAACCAGGTGGTGATCATGCGGGACTACCGGCATGAGAACGTGGTGGAGATGTACAACAGCTACCTGGTGGGTGACGAGCTCTGGGTGGTCATGGAGTTCCTGGAGGGAGGCGCCCTCACCGATATCGTCACCCACACCAGGTACTGCTGGGTGACCGGCTGGCTCGTGTGCTCCCAGGGGTGGAGCTGGGACCCTTCAGCCTCTGGTGATAGACAAGTCCCTCCAGAGTGTGGGTGGGGCAGGGAAGCCAGGCACACAGGATGGTCTCATAGCATCTTAGATTCCCCCAACCACTATTGAGGCAGTTCTGTGACCTCTTGATGTCCTGAAACAGCGGATGGGTCTGTCGGCTCCCCACCCTTGCCCCAGGGCTGGACATCCCAGCAGGGTCCTGACTACCCAGTTGCTCCTTCTGCCCATGCAGGATGAACGAGGAACAGATTGCTGCTGTGTGCCTGGCGGTGCTCCAAGCGCTGTCTGTGCTCCACGCCCAGGGCGTCATTCACCGAGACATCAAGAGTGACTCCATCTTGCTGACCCATGATGGCCGGGTAAGCGGGAGAGTAGTGAATGTGTGAGGTGACTTTTGTTTGTTTGCTTTTGATTTTGAAGACAGAGTTCCTTCAAGTATCCCTGGCTGTCCTGGAACTCACTCTATTGAACTCTCAGATCCGCCTGCCTCTGCCTCTACCTCTGCCTCCCGAGCGCTGGGCATCACTGCCCAGCAGCTTTTCATCTTTTTGACAGAACAGCTTGAAGGAGGAAAGTTTTGTGTTTTGTTTCTTAGCATTTCAGAGGTTTCAGTCCATCATGGTAGAGTGCAATGGAGCCAAGCAGCTCCCTTCTTGGCAGCCAGGAAGCAGGAGAAAAGTTGTGCTGAGGGTCTCCTTCCTCCGTTCCAGCCTGTAGAGTGGAGCCTCCCACATGCAGGTAGCTCTTGTCCCCGGTTCATCCTCTCTGGAATTGACCTCAGTCCCACTCGACGCTAGGCACCTCTCAGTCTCCTCCAGCTGATGGTCAGCTCACACCAGTGCACACCGGTGCTGGGGTCCCTGCCTTACCCCCTGTCCCCAGGATGCTGCTAGGGTGGCCGTTGAGACTTTGGTGACTGGAGGAACAGCTGACTGATCGGTTCCTCACAGAACAGCTCAGAGTACGGGTCCAGATTGGTAGAAGGCACTGAGCTCACAGAAGTGGAAGCCAGAGGCTGCCCAGGGCCCAGAGAGGAAGGGCTTAGCCCAACAGCCACAGCTCCTGAACCCGTGTGTAGCACTTTCTCCCATTAGATCCAAGGGCCAGGATCCCTGGACTTTCAGAAACAAGACTGTCTTGGCCCCTGCTGAGCCCTCACCATCCACAGGCCTTGAGCCACATCCCTAAGAACCTTGGGCCACCTGAGAGCCCAGCCAGGAGGGAGCAGAGCCTTCACCCTGGCCGCTCATGGAGCCCATGTCTGAAGGAAGTTGGGGAGCCGGGCATCTCTGACCCACAGCCTCTGTCTGCCCAGGTGAAGCTGTCCGACTTCGGGTTCTGTGCCCAGGTGAGCAAGGAGGTGCCAAGGAGGAAGTCGTTGGTGGGCACTCCCTACTGGATGGCCCCAGAGCTGATCTCCCGCCTGCCCTACGGGCCAGAGGTAAGCCCAGTGGTGGCCCTACCCAGTCCTGAGCAGCCTGCACCAAGGTGGCCTGAGTTTCCTTTATCTGTTGGAAAGGCTGGGTGATGACCAGGGAGCCACTGTTGCTAGAGAAAGGATGGCACCTTCATTCTGGCTGGAGTGACCACCTGAGCCTGCTGGGGCCTGTCTAGCCCTGAGGTTTTCTCCTGATCAGTCAGCAAATTTGATCCCCACTGGACATGGGGGAAGGCAGGCTGCAAGTCCCACAGGGAACCAGGCCAGCATGACAATCCTTGGGACTATCTCAGTCAGGGTGGCTTGTACTTGGCAAGAATGGAGCTAGAACACAGTTAGCAATCCATGGCAGCTGTTGTTCCCCAGACCTGAGAACTCAGGTTATGGGCCCAGGACTAGGGTCAAAGAAGTAGAGGCTAGATGGGGACCATGTTTCCCGGGGCTCGCAGAGGATCGGCTGCTCTCTGCACTTAGCCCTATGGTCCCTTTTCCCTAGGTGGACATCTGGTCATTGGGGGTGATGGTGATCGAGATGGTGGATGGAGAACCCCCCTACTTCAACGAGCCACCCCTCAAAGCCATGAAGATGATTCGGGACAACTTGCCACCCCGACTAAAGAACCTGCACAAGGTGAGCGGAACTAGGCTGTGCCATTGGTGACTCCCCCAACCCCAGAGACAGAGCCACAGGGTCCCCTGAGCCCTAGGCTGCCACAGAGCTTATGCCCAGGTTGCCTGACTGTAGGACTCTCCTGTTGGTGGATTTGCATATGTGTGTGTGTGTGTGTGTGTGTGTGTCCCCGCCTTATTGCTAAACCACAGGAGTGAGGAGGAAATGAGCTTTAGGAGCCTTTGGGTCCCTTGGGGCCCAGCAGTAACCCCTGAGGCTTCTTCAACATCCCCAAGATGCCATCAGCCCACGGGACATTACCGGAAAGTGGTCCTGTAGCAAGTAACTGTCCTCCTGCCCTCTGCTCCTCCACAGGCATCACCATCTCTGAAAGGCTTCCTGGACCGCCTGCTGGTGCGAGACCCAGCCCAGCGGGCTACTGCTGCTGAGCTCCTGAAGCACCCGTTTCTCACCAAGGCAGGGCCACCGGCCAGCATCGTACCCCTCATGCGCCAGCACCGGACCAGATGAGCTGGAGCCTGGTTCTAAACCAAAGAGCCCTGGGCCACCCTGCCCAGCACAGGCCAGTAGGGGGCCGACCCACTCCCACAGCCTTCGAGACACTGGGGAAACCACCATTACTGTGCCGGGGGCTTCCTGGGACCCAGCTACTGAACTCCGGTTTTGGTTCCATGACTTGTAAAGCAACACCGGAACGTGGGAGCGAGTGAGGCTCCCTGGGTCCCTCCGGGACAGACTCTTCCCCTGTGCTCTGTCCACAGGGGAGAAGGCAGCTGCCCCATCTGGAGATCTGTATCAGGGGCCACTGGGGCAGAGATGATGCTGTGAGAAAGGGGTGTGTGTAAAGAGTGTGTGTGTGTGTGTGTATGTGTGTGTGTGTGTGTGTATGTATGTATGTACACACGTGTACCCAGAAAGTCCAGCTCCTCTGTCCTCAGCCTGCAAGTGGGCGTCTCAGGCCCTGCCTGGTGCCCGGCCCCTGACCCTGAGCCATTGAAGGGTCAATCATGAATGTTTGAAGAGTGGCCTTTTCCCAGAGCCCCACGCCTTCTCTCCATGGAGAGACAGGCTGGGGGCTCCCCCCCCCCC